ATTTTTGCTGAGCCCAGCCCTCTGGCTGCTGAGATAAGCTCACGGGTCACCTATGAGTCATGCCAGGCCTCCACCCACTCTGCCCAAATCCCTGCCCTCTGGAGCCTTTGGCCAAGGCTCACAGCCAGGCAGGGGGAAGGTGTGGGCAATCCAGATCCCAGGAAGGGTCTTCAGACTGCTCACTGGATCTTCTCTGGAAGTCTGGGTTAGGACCCTGAGGCCAACACCCCTTCTAAGAGGGGCAACCACTGCATGAGGATCAAGTCAGGGAGTGAGGTTGAAAAAGCTTTTAGATTTTGGAATCCTGGATCCTGGCTTGGGTATGCACTATAGTTCTGTGACTCTGGCCACCTCACAGAAATCTGCTGAGCCCTTAGTGACCTCATCTGCAAAATGGGGATAGTATTTTACCTAGCTCAAAGGACTAAGTGATGATTAAATTATGGGAAGCACATACATACCACACACACACGTACACACACATGGACAAACACATGCATTCCTAGCATATTTGCCAAATACATGGTAGGCACTTGGTAAATATGACCTTTAACCTTCTCCTACGAGGACCTTACACAATTGTCTTACTTTCAGTACTTTCTCCAATTAGTCACTAGGGTCAGAGCTCTGTCTGTGGCCAGGGTAGGGGCCCAGTGTGTGATTAGGGCTCAGTCTATGACCGGAGTCAGGGCTCAGCGTATGACCAAGGTCAGTCTCAGTCTGGGACCAGGGTCAGGGCTCTCAGGCTCACCCAAGAAAACCAAAGATCCTCCAAATATGACTCACTGGCTCTGACCTGTGCTCTGCCCCGCCCACTGTGGCTCCGGCCAGGCCTTCCCCCACGTGCACAGAGGAAGCAGCCCTTCCCCTCCCTGTCCTGGCTCCAGCCCTGTTCCTTAGCTCTGGGCAGCAGGTGGTCAGAGCAGCCACTGCCAACTGGCAACCCAGCCACCAATCCTTTGGCCGAGGGTTAGAACCCCACAGGATGTCTCCTGGCTGACCCCTTCCCCAGACCCTGCCTGTGAGGGCACCCCCCACCTGTCAGGGCCACTGCCTTCCTGGTCCCTGCTGGGCTCTGACTGGCAGGTCTCTCTGTGCCAGGCCAGGAGGCAGGTGTTGGGCACTGCTCAGGCTCAGATCGGTCAGGGGAGACCTGGGGCCCGGGCACTGGCCCAGCAGACCTGGACTTGGAATCTGTCTTGCATGTACAGCTGGGGCTCTTGTTGTCTCTTAAGAACGGACACTATTTCCCAGGCCAGAGCACGAATCAGCTTGGCAAGCCTTGAAACAGCACAGAGACCAGAATAGACATCCTGGCCACGGGAAGACTAAGACTCAGAGAGGGACAGGGACTACCCTGTCAGGGGCAGTGAGCCAGATTCTGGGGTTTCCTGATCCCATTCTCACTTTTCTCCACTGCCCCACCGCTTTCTTCTGACAGATCTCCCATGCCCACCGTGGGCACTGGGGGTAACCTTTACTCTGTGTCATACTTCACACCTGTCAGCATCTCCCACTGGCTCCCCATCCCTACAGCCCTCTGAGGCAGCTTCCTGGGAGAGGCATTTGAGCAACGAGAGGACAAGGAGCCTTCCCAAAGTCACAGAGCAAGCTAGAAATGGGGCCGGATTCACTCAACAGTTATTGACAGCCTCCTATGCTCCGGGTGCTGTGTTAAATAGTAGGGATAGAATGGGGAGCAATACAGACCTGGTGGTCACTTGTTGAACTAGAGGGCCACTATGGGGGTAGGTTTGAGGAAGAGTAAGCCAGGAATCCCATGAAAGCACATCAAACTTGTGAGGCCAGCTGTGACACTGCAGAAGTAAAAAGTCCCAGGGAGGTGTGGAATGTAGGAAACTTTGGCCTGGTCTGGGAGGTCAGGGGGGACCTCCTGGAGGAGGTGATTTAGCTGGGATCCAAAGAGGGGAGGGGAAGGGAGAATGTTCTGGGGGAGGGATCCTGAAAGGCCTAGGGAGAGAGGAAACAGGGTCTGCTCAGAGAACTGAGAGATAGACACGTGGTACAGCTGGAGCGAAGAAAGGGAGATGGGAGTCATGCTGCTGGGGATCTGGAGGGGGCCACAAGGACCCAACCTTGCTGGGTCTAGAATCCTCTTTACCCTGGGAGCAGTGAGAACCCTTGGGGTTTGAAGATGGGTAAGATCAGATGTGCTAAGAAGAGAAAAGTGCAGAAGCTTAAGGTGGGGCGAGCCGGCAGAGAGAAGCAGCCAGATTTCAGATACAGGAGACACATTTACAGGACTCGGGGATGGAGTGGGCGGGGGGGGGGGGGGGCGTTGGGGGGGGGGGAGGAATATGACTACTGACAGCAGGATGAGGATGTTATGCAGACAGTACAGAGGAAGAGGACGACCAAGGGTTGAAACCTGGGACAGGCCAGCATCTGGAAAGATGAGATGCCCAGCGGACGTAATGGGGTCAAGCACAGCCGCCATTTTAGAGAAAGCTATTTCAGAGGAGTAGAGGGGTCAGACTGGAAGCAGGTCAATGGCTCAGATGGAAAGAGTTGGAACCACAAGATGAGCCACGTGGACTTCTTGGTCTGGGTCAATCACGGCGAGAGGTGTGCTCTATTATACTAGATCGGCTTGAGGCTGGAGCCTGCACAGGAGTGAAGTGACCAAGCCCCCAGCTAGGGAGTCCCCATCATTAGACCTGAGTTCTCTTCAGCTCCCCACTAATGGGCTGAATGAGTAAATGACTCCGGGGTACTCTTAGGCCTGTGCTTTAACTCCTACTCCACCATTGTCCCCGCAGGTCGGCCTGCTGGGGATGCAACAGACCCAGAGAGAGGGCGGAACTAGGCAGGGACAGGAAGCCCCAGAGGTGAGACCCCTAGGGATGGCAGAGAGCAGGAGGCTCAGCCAGAAGACCAAGCTGAGGGCACCAGAAACACAGGCATGAGAATGATGAGAAAAAGTGTTTTGAAAGACTATGGAAGATCAATATTATTAATATATATTAAATATATACCCTATATACTTTAAGCATTGCAATATTCATCGTGAGAGGAAGGAACGCTTCGGGGGACTGGCTTCTCATGCCTGTGGTCTGCTTTGTTAATGGCGTATGTGGAATCAGACATCCAGGGCACATCAGATTCTTCCCAGGGCTTCTGGCTTCTGAGGGTCTGGGTCGTCCCTTTGGGGTTCCTGCCTGGGGCTGGGGGCTCGCTGCGAAAGCCTCTTTCAGGTTCCTGACAGCTGGGCCTTCCTTCTCAGAAGCCCTCCCTTCTGCTGTCATTTGCATCTCATTAGCACCCCCGGGGCTGGTGGCGGCTCAGCCGCCAGGAGCCCTGGAACGCCCCGGAACGCGGGGCCGCAGGCTCGGCCGGGCTCTGCTCCCTGCCCCCTCCCTGGGTGGAGATGGGTGCAGCCATGCGCTCTCCCCGCCGCCCCCACACCCCTCGCCCAGGCTCCGGCCGGCTGGGCTCCCGCCGCGCGTTCCCATGGCAACCGGGTGAAGGCGAGGGTCGCGGTGCCCGCCGCAGAGCAACGCGGCGCCCCGCTCCCCGCCCCGCCGCCCAGGCTGGCGTGGTGATAGGCAGGGCCTCAATCTCCCGAGATGATCGGCGATAATTGGTTTATGGAAATAGCTGAGGGGAGAAGGCGAGCTCCCTGCCAAGCCCACTCTCTGCCACCTGTCCCTCCTCACGGCGGAAATGGAGTTGGGGGAGGGGAGGGCCGAGGAGCTGGGTGGGTGGGTGGAAATGGGCCTTTTGAGACAAGCAAGTGTCCCACCTGTTGGTCTCCAGCACACCATCTACCCTCCTTTCAACTGTGTGGAGGTGCGGGGGTTGTTGTCATAGCTACTGGCTGGCTGTCTCCGTGGCTCCTTGATCCCTAAGTCGGCGCTCAGGCCCAGTCTGGGCGCATTGTGGGGGAAATGGACGACCTGGGATGTGTCCTCTGGAGCCCCGGTTTGGGGAACAGAAGAACAGCCCATAACTGTAATTATGTGAAGTGTGTCAGATCAGAGTTGCCATTGCTGTGCAGCTCCAGAGAGGAGAGCTCAACTCTGGTGGCTGCCTGGAGGAGGAGGCAGTCAAGAATAAGGCTTTGAAGGTGGGATTTCAGGAGTGTTGGGTGAGGGCTGGGGCAGGCACTCCCCCAAAGGACATGTGGGCAAAAGCCTGAGGCAGGCACTGAGCTGGAATTAGCAGAGGAGGGGAGGTGTAGAGTAGCTTGTGGGGAGGCCCTGGTGGCTCCCACTGTTTACAGAGGGGCTCAGGGATGACAAGCTTGGCGGAGGGGTTACTGTGCAGTGCTTCACAACCAAGATTGAACGGATGTCCGACCTCCGTACGGAAGGTTGGCTGGATGGACACTCTGTCACCCCCTGATGCCCTCCTGGGAGAAGCGAGGCCCACAGCATGGGCAGCAGATGGCGTGGCGGGCCTCACTCGGCCACCAGGCTGGGAGAAGCGTGCAGCCTGATTGCAGCTGGCTGACGGGAGACGTGGGGTGCATTAAAGGACCAGAACTAGGGAAGTCCCTAAGATAGAAATGACCTGAGAAGTGGGGGGGGGGGGGCAAGGAGGAAGATGGCTGTGAGGACCTATCCCAGAATAGGGCGTGGGGGGATGGGGCACCCAGAGTCCCGGAGAGGCAGGCTCAGGCCTTCTTCCTTTGATCACCACCCCACTCCAAGCCCAGCCCAGCCCAGGCTTCTGTATCCAGGGGCCCTGCCTCCCTGAGGTCAAACTGTGGCCAAGCCCTGCCCAGCTGGCTGTGGGATCAAGGAGTGGCTCTTCCTTCCTTCCCCAGTCCTGGTGAACAGCTTCCCACGCAGCAGGGAAGATGTCAGGCCTCACGCGTACAGAGCCTCCAGCCCCTGTGTGATTCACACTTGGCTTTCCTCTCTGGGTATCACGGTTCCCACCCCCAACCTTTGGTTGCTCACATTCCAAATATCCATCCACTGGTTTCTGCTCACAGCCCCGCACCAGCCCCTGTCCCTACTCCCGGCACCACTTACACTACCACGTATGGCCACGGCTCAGAGCCATCCTTGCAGGTGGGTAGGTTGGTGGCCCCGTGGAGAGTGACCATGATGGTCTCCTTATTAGGGGGAGACAGGTGGCTGGTGACAGATTCCACACTCTGTGAGGTGTTCAGGGGCTCCTCTGGGCTCTCAGTGACCTGTGGAGAGAGCCAGGGCTGAGTGGCCTCTTCCCGGTGGTCCCCTGCCCTTACTGCCTCCTTAGAACTCCAGCCCCTCACCGATCCCCTCCCCACCAAGTGCCTTTCCCTTTGTCATCCACCCACCCCCACCCAGTTTGGTCAAAGGGCACTTGCCTTTGACCCCATCTTCTCCCTACCTCTGTCCCACACCCCACGTCTGCCCCAGTCCGTGATCACTTCCTGCGGAGGGAGACAGGGCTTCATCTCTCAAGTCCAGTCTCACTGCTAAAACCTTTGCTTTTGTGGGTGCCCTTGCCTCTAATTCCTAAATCCCACCTGCAGCTAGCCTTCTCCCTCGGTCTCTCCTGTAACCTCAGCCCAGTCCATCTGTCACCTTAGGTCCTTCCTGTGCACAGCCCCTTACAGTTTACAAAGTTCATCCACATCCATGGAGTCACCCAAGGCATTAATGAAAAGGGACGAACGTGTCTGTCCCAGATGCCCCTCTCTCTTCTCCCCAGAGAACCCTGCAGACCAGGAAGGAGTGGCACCTGCCTGCACATGGCGCCCCCTAGGCTGGCTGCCCCAAGCGGACACACATGTGGGAGCTCACCAGCTCACCAGCTTGTGACTCAGGGCCTGAAGGACCATGGTATTCAGTGAGAGCTGCTGAGAGGAGACAGAAGCAGCGGCCGGGCAATCAGGAAAGGCTGCTGGGAAGAGGAGGACCTGAAGGGTTGGGACCTTTTATCTAGAAAGTTTGCATGAGGCACCTGGGTGGCTCAGTCGGTTGGGTGTCCGACTTTGGCTCAGGTGATGATCTCACAGTGGTGAGTTTGAGCCCCGTGTCAGGCTCTGTGCTGACAGCTCAGAGCCTGGAGCCTGCTTCAGATTCTGTGTCGCTCCCTCTCTGCCCCTCCTCTGCTTGTGTTCTCTCTCTCTCTCAAAAATAAACATTAAAAAAAAAAAATAGCAAGTTCAGTCTGTCAGACCCTGACAGGGGGCAGGCCCTGGTAGGGGGATCCCCTGGCTCAGTCCTGATGAGCACCGAGCGTCAGCAGAGCTGGGTTTAAACCAGCTCTGCTCCTCAACACCATGGACCCGAAGCCCCGTCATGCTGAGAGTCAGTTTCCCCAATGGGACAATGTGGGCTTGGACCAGCCTATTTGGAAGCTGCCCTGCTTCCTGTGTGAGGGCCCCAGTTCCCCACACATTGTCTGCTCCCACCTTGAGCCTGAGGGTTCTGGGCGCAGTGACTCCTGGCTCTCAGAAGCCTCTGGGCAGAGGGAAAGGGAAGGGCCTGAGGACTTTGACGCCTCTTAACGTCATTCCGTTCTGATAGTGGCGGGGTGAACATTACATGAGCCCTGACAGCATGGCCTACCAGCCCTGCCTTCAAACCATGTCTAGGGGGCCCCTGGGTGGCTCAGTCCGCTAAGTGTCCAACTTCGGCTCAGGTCATGATCTCAGGGTTCATGAGTTCGAGCCCCACATCTGGCTCTGCGCTGACAGCTCGGAGCCTGCTTAGGATCCTCGCCTCCCTCTCTCTCTGCCCCTCCTCCACTCGCGTGCACTCTCTCTCTCTCAAAAATAAACATTAAACAAAACAAAACAAAACTCATGAAACCATGTCCAGACTCTGACCCCTTCTGCATGCCTGACTGTTTCCTTTCTGGCACTCCCTCCACCCTGCCCATCTCACAGAGCAGCCAGAGTGATCCTTTACAGATTTCAATCAGACCAGATCTGTCACTGCTCAAAACAGTGGCTCCCTGTTTCCTTCAGAGCTTCGCTGGCCCGTCAGGACCTACACACTCTGGCCCAGGAAACCGACCTCGCCTCATGCCCCTGGGCGTCTTGCCCACTGGCTCCAGCCCCGCTGGCCTCTGGGTGGTTTCTTGCACATCCCAAGCTGGCTCCCACCTTCAAGCCTTTGTCTGGGTGGGTCCCTCTTCCCCTGTATGTCCATCCCTGTGGCTTGTTCCCTCACTTCCTACAGATCTAATGTTATCACAAAGGCCTTCTTGGTACAATCTGTGGTCCTTGACTAACAAGATGACTAATTAGGAGGTGAGAAACCCCCAGCCCCAGAAGTGCCAGCTCTACAGAGAGACCCCTCCTTCTGCCTGAGGAAGGCCCCCTCCGCAGGACCCAGGGGGCGCCTATCACCATCTGCAGAGGTGTTGAGAGTTATCCTTCCCCCTCTCCCCCTCTCCCCTGCCAGGCCATGATGGGAGGAGGGGAGGGAGGTCAATGTGCAGAAAGAACCCCTACCAGAAGGAAGGGGACGGGGAGGGGGGAAACAGGCTCAGTGTCACCTCTCGCTTCATAGGTCAGAGATACTGCCTTCCCAATGTCCCACCCTCACTGTGTGCCCCCCGTAACCCACTCCACTCTCCATCAGGCTTAGTCTTTTGGTTTAGTGCCAGGGGAGCAAGACCAGCGACCTGGAGTGTCCAGAAATGTAGGTTTCAGTCCAGGTCTGCCCCAGCTCCCAGTGGGGTCTTACTTTTCCCACCTGGTCAGTGGGGATATCTGGAATGGTTTTGTAATCTTCCCTGTGGAAGGCCTAAGGTTCTGCAGTGAGGTCAGGAGGGGTGACTAACGTGTCTCTCCATCACCCTGATGCCCAGGAGAAGCCCAAGATGGTGGCCCCCTCCCCCTTGTTTCTGTGGGGGTACAGGGCCTGTCCCCAGCCTCCTATGGCCCCCAGAAGTGAGGACCCAGCATCACGGTAGCCCCACAGCCCAACCAGTGATTCTGCAGACCAGGCCCATGAGTTGTGTCCTCTCTCTGTCCCCTACTGCCTCTATGCCTCCCCTTGTGGGACAGCCTTCTGGGAAATACAGCTTCCAGGAGGCTGGACAAAAACTGCTCGTGCTTCACTTCTGGGCATGAGGCCAGATGCCAGGCTGGCGCCTCCTGGTGAGGGCCGCAGGCATGTGCCGCTGGGCAGGCTGGGCCCAGGGCCAGGGAGGCCTGGAGCGGGGACTGTGGGCCAACCTCTCAGCCTTCCCCTTCCTTCCTTCCTACCTCTGGAAGGACAATCTGCAGGCTTCCCTCGGAGCTGTGTCTGCATCAGGACCAAAGTCCCCCCTCACCCGGATTCCGGTTCCCCAGCTGTATCTTAAGGGCTTTGAGTTAAAAAATGGCCTTTCATGTTCCTTCTAGTTTCAGCATCTAAACTTGCTTGGGAGTTACAATGGCCACTGGAGGGCCCTCTCCTAGGTGGGGAATCAGGCTCAGGGAGACCAAAGCCCTTGTGTCTGGGCCCTCGGCTTTGCTAGCGGGCAGAGTGGGAAGTGGGATGGGGTCTGTGTCTCCACCTTGTGAGGTCTCTGCTCTGCCCTGTTAGTGTTTTCTGGACATGCTGAGCTTTCTCTGGGCCACAACGTATACGCCCTCGGGCTCATTACCCAAGTAGCCAGTACTTGTTAGTAAGTACTAGCCATGGGAGTTGTGGCGTTTGGACAAGGGAAGACTCTTTTGAAGATGCCGCAAAAATCAGAAATCATAAAGAAAAGACTGATCGCTCGGATTACATTAACAATCCACACCAACTTCTATGATAGCCTCCAATTCACCACAGTCCAGAGAAAAAACAAATAGGAGAAAATATCTGCAATAGATATAAAGGGATGAATATCCCCAATACACAGAGATCTGGAAGCATCACCACAATAAAAAAGACATGAATAGAAGCTTCACAAAAGAGGAAATAGGAATATGTGATACTATATGTACACAATATGAACATTCTTACAGGAGATTCTACCCAGTCATTAAAAATGTTCCACAAAATTATGAATTAAACAAAACAAATGCGGGGCACCTGGGTGGCTCAGTTGGTTAAACGTCTCGCTTTGGTTTCAGTTCAGGTCATGATCTCATGGTTCGTGAGTTCAAATCCCAAGTCGGGCTCTGTGCTGACAGTGCGGAGCCTGCTCGGGATTCTCTCTCCCTCTCTCACTGCCCCTCCCCCGCTTGCACACACTCTCTCTCTCACACACTCTCTTTTTAAATAAGCATTAAAAAAAAATAAATCAAACAAATCCATTTCCTTCTCAGGGCTCCTACGAATGCTCCTTGGATCCCCAAACCCAGTTTGGGTGGGTGGGTGGGAATGAGCTTCAGGACCAGCTGGCAGCTTAAGGTCTCTAGGTCAGGCCAGCCTGGTGCCCGGTCCTGAGTGTGTGACATTCAAGAAAGTAGCTTAAAGGGTAGAGTCAAGGGGAGGAGCCAGCTTTGGGTAGAGAACACCAGGAACCCCAGACACCAAAGTCGAGGGTAATAAAGTAGAAACCACAGTGGGGCACCTGTAGCTATTTGGTTTGAGTCTAACAGCAAGAGAGGGTGTTCCCAGCTTAGCAAGTACCTGGTGCCTTTGGTCTTAGCTCATTCTGCCACCCCAGTTGGTACTTGGCACAGTCGAGGCCATAGGCTCAGCCTTGCCAGTTAGCAGGAGACAAGGGAGGCCTCATATTGAACAGTCTGCATTTCACCACTCAGAGATTTTAGTCCCCTCCTGGCAAGGTCTTGCTGTTCTGTCACAGATATTTATTAAGCACCTACTATGTGTCAGCACTGTTCTGAATTCTGGGGATACAGCAGTGATCAAAACCAACAAGAAGCCCTTCTTTCTAGGAGTTGGAGCATCTGCGGCCTGGGGCAGGGGTCTGGGCCAGGGCTGCAAGGGTGGAGGATGGTGGAGCATTGGCAGTCCCAGGGCAGCAGTGTGGGAATCTCCCAGAAGATCCTGGAGGGGGATGGTTGAGGCATCTCAGTAGGGTCTCTGCGCCTTTGTGACAACACAGCAAAAACTCCTTTCCAGGCTCTGCGGGGGCAGGGGTACTATACCCATTCAAGCCACATTTTTCTCTGGGTCATGGGGATACAAGACAGAAACAACCAGGTAAGGGTACCAGGAGCTGATAACACCTGCAAACACACCGAATTCAGATCCCACGTGGCCCCAGAGTACAGTATGCCTACCTTGGAAGAACACTGAGAGACCACCTCACTCTCCATTTCACGGCTGTGAAAACTGGGACCCAGATAAGGGAAGCTTTTGTCATGATTTAGGAGCAAATAAAACAAGGGACTTTGAAGGAGAGATGAGCTCATACAGATGAATGACCCCTGCCCCTAGCCCTCACCTTTTTCTTTTTGCGTCCCATCCTCTTGGGGGCAGGAGTGTTTGGCCTTGTTTAACAATCTTGGGGACCAGTACCTGATATTGGTGGCTGACCAGGCACTGGCCCTGCCCAGCTGGCCTGGGCACCGTGGAGTCTTGGGGCTTGGCAAACAGTATAGAGCGTCAGTGTTGTCTCGGGTTGGGGGAGCATACGCTGGCTCTGGGAGCTAGATGGGGGGGAAACAGTGGGGGGTTGGAGATGGCAAGGTGGGGGGCAGCCTGGAACTTTCTCAGAAGTGAGACATTCTTGGAGTGGAGGTGTCCTCAGGGCTCTGGGCTGTGACCAGCTGGGTAGGGGTCAGCAACGGAAACAATCGGCTCTTTGTACCCCCAGGAAGGTAAAGACAGGGGTGGGTGGCCCTTTCTCTGCCAAGACCTGGAAAAGCTGTGAGCTTGTCCACCCAGCTGGGTCACCTGGGCAACACTGTGTGACGTCATAGGGCAGAGCAGAAGCCACATGGGTATAGTCCAGGTATAGTGGGGCGGGGGAGCAGAAGCCCTTCTCCCTATTTTTGGAGGTGGGTCCTGCCTGCTCTCTGGCATCCAGTCCTCACCCTCCCTGCTTTTGAGACCCCAAACAGTCTATCAACCCGATTCACCAATGGCTCTGTATGCCCAGCCCCACTGTGGAGACCCAGATGCTACCCGCAGGAAGTTGCAACCTGATTGGTAAAAACAGTTATTTCTGTTAATGAATGTACAGCCATCCTGCCTCTTTGGGTGCCTGTGGTCTTTCGTTTGTTTCATAATAATAAACATGGGGCGCCTGGGTGGCTCAGTCGCTTGAGCGTCCGACTTCGGCTCAGGTCATGATCTCGCGTTTCATGAGTTCAAGCCCTGCATCGGGCTCTGGGCTGACCGCTCGGAGCCTGGAGCCTGTTTCCGATTCTGTGTCTCCCTCTCTCTCTGCCCCTCCCCTGCTTGTGCTCTCTCTCTGTCTCTCAAAAAATGAATAAATGTTAAAAAAATTTTTTTTTAAATAAAAACATACAAAATAATAATAAACACAAAGTTCAAGAAAATGGTTTCTTCTTGGCGGCTGGGCCGGAAGGTGACAGAGAGAATGGGGAATAAGTAGATATGTTATTGTAACGTCTCTTCGATTGGGCGGTCAGCTAATGGGTGTTCATTATATTGTTGCAAATAAACTATAAATAGCTAACGACGGCCGACAAATCCAATTCTGAGCTCCACAAGAAATTATTACAAAGGTAACAATTCTTTTTATTGAGCACTTACCCTGTGCCAGACGCGGTTCGAAGTCCTTTTCCGGACAGTGAGATGGCAGAATGAGGAGTGACTGGCCCTTGGCCTGGGGTGAGGTCTGCTCCCCGGGGAGGCTAGATGGGAACCGGGCCCCGAAACATGGTCAGAACCCTGGTCCGGCAAAGGTGAGATCTGGGGTACTGGGTGGGGTTGAGAGGTGCTGGAAAACTCCTGCGGCCTGCCTCTTTCTTCTGCCAGCTGTTTCAGAGCCCATATTGAGGGTTCTTCCCATTTTCCTGGGTCTGGGGACCAAAGCAGGCCCATCCTGGCAACAAGAGGCAGAAGCTTATGGCTTTCTGGAGGCCTCCTCCTTACCCCTCCACCCCTAGTCTAGAGAGAGGCAGGAAGGATGCAGCTGTCCCCAATTTAGAGACAAAAACTGAGGCCTCAAAAACTGAGGCCTCACCTACAATCAGAATTGGAAAGACCAGCCAAGGTCACCCAGATGGCCGGAGATGGAAGCTGGGAGTCCCACAGCCAGTTTTCTCCCTCCCAGGTCTGCTGAAGGTGGAGCCCCTGCCTCCTGGGCCCATCTCATCCCCACCAGGCAGGCGCACGGGTGGAAAGGGTCTCAGGGATGGTTCCCCAGCCACCTTACTGTGCCTCCTCCTTCCTGTTAGTTTCCGAGGCTGCAGCAGCAGACAGGGGAGGGGGACCAGTGCTGCCTCAGTACCTACGTGAGCCATTCACGGCCCAGTTCAGCCTTCTGCAGCAGGGCTTGAGAGAGGCCAGCAGGACACTTTGGGAGCAAAGTTTAAGGAAACCAGTGAGCACTGGTTCTCAGGGCTTGAGAGTGTTCCTGCCATCACATCTCCTCAAATTTTTTTTTTTCAATTTTTTTTTTCAACGTTTTTTTATTTTTGGGACAGAGAGAGACAGAGCATGAACGGGGGAGGGGCAGAGAGAGAGGGAGACACAGAATCGGAAACAGGCTCCAGGCTCTGAGCCATCAGCCCAGAGCCTGACGCGGGGCTCGAACTCACGGACCGCGAGATCGTGACCTGGCTGAAGTCGGACGCTTAACCGACTGCGCCACCCAGGCGCCCCACATCTCCTCAAATTTTTACCCCAGTCCCTTCCCTGCTTCACTGTGGCCCCTCACCCCCCCTGCATGTGGGCTCTGCGCTCTCACCCAGCTGCCCTACCAGCCATCTGAGCTTTGTACCCCTGGAGCCCTAGCCTTTGGCCTTCCTGCCTGGGAAGAAGATAAATGCACTGGTTCCAGGCGGTCTGGCTCCGGAGTGCTAGCGAGCCCTGCACACTCAGCAGCCACCAGAAGGGCCTTCCTACCACCTCATTTGTGGGCTGGCCGGCTCCCTGGGCCAAGGACCCCTGTGACACTCTTGTGCCACGCTAGCCCTACCCCCAGAACTGCCTCCTCCTGGCCAATGAGAATGCCATCAGCCTGGGACTGCATGTGGCTTTCCTACTTAACAACACCACGAACCTCACCTTTCCCTCTGCCTCCCCAGCTCCTTCTCTTGCCTCATTGCCCATCCCTGGTAAGGGGTACTCTGCCTCCCCCAGCCAAGGGAAATGAGCCTGCTCCCCAAATGCCTAGAGGCCAGCCCCAAGCTTTGATGACTCAGATTCCAGTGTGAGCAGAAGCAGGTAATGAGTGATCTCACAGCTAATAGGTAACCCTCCCCACCTCCCTCCAGGAGAGAGTACTTGGACCTGCCCTGAAGCTGGGCCAGGGGTTAAACACAGCCATTTAGGGAGCCTCCAGCTATGGAGGGCAAGCCACTGGACTGGATCTGAGGCTGGCTCTTGGGGAAGGAAAGGTCCTGCTTCCTCCTATGGCTTTGCACTGTGATTCACAGCTGTCCATACTTCCTCATGCTGTGTCCCAGGGCCCAGCTCCAATTGTCCCTTTAGGCCTAGATATCCCTGCATCCAGTCCAGGGAAGGGTGTCTCCCAGGGCCTGCAAACTTGGCCTTCCTTTCCCCTTAGTCCTGTCCCACACCCCTTGACATCCTCCATATTCCTCCCACCCTCCACTCTCCACCCCCATCACTTTCTCTGTATTTCGTCTGGTCCACTGCACTGGGCTTCTGGGAAAGATAAAGGATGGAGGGTGTGGGAAACTTAGCGAAGCTTATAGCTGTGTGATCTTGGTTCAGAATAGTGACCCTCTCTGAGCTTTGGTGTCCTTCCTTTTTTAATTTTTTTTTTTTTACATTTATTCATTTTTGAGAGACAGAGAGAGACAGAGCACAGGCAGGAGAGGGGCAGAGAGAGAGAGAGAGAGGGAGACACAGAATCTGAAGTAGGCTCCCGGCTCCGAGGTTTCAGCACAGAGCCCGACGCGGGGCTCGAACTCACAAAACCGCAAGATCATGACCTGAGCCAAAGTCGGACGCTTAACTGACTGAGCCACCCAGGTGCCCCTGGTGTCCCTTTTTATACAGAGGGGAAATCAGGGCTGCTCTGAGGATTGAATGAGGCAATGGAGGTACTGCTCTTAGCACTGATACTCAGTTGAGTGCTCCAAAAATGCTTGTTCTTTTCCTTGCTGAACAAACTGGGACCTGGCAGGTTCTCCCCAGCAGAAATGGGCCAGAGAAGCAAAAAGTGTCTGTAGGGTGAAATACGGACACCTCCACCCAGTGCTCAAACCTTCACATGCCCTCCCCCGCCACCAGATATTCTAGCCCCGGTCTCCCTTTTCCCCAGATCCACTCTGTGCCCAGCTTCTGGACCCCTCCGCACAGCCACACCTTTCTGGCAGACCCCTTGCCAGAAAAGTCGCCTGCTTTCCTACCTAAGTTCAATTTGTCCTTACGGTCTGGCTCAAGACAGTTCATCGAGGAAGCATTCCTGACTCCCTTCATCCCCTGCTCTGAACAGTCCTCTTTGTCCATGGTGACACCTGCCTGTGTGTGTGCTGCTGAGTTCACCCCCAACAGGTGATAAACCAGAGGCAGGGGTGTGGCACCTGGCCAAGTCCCTGCCCCTCCCCCAGAATTTGACAGGTGTCAACTGAGGCAGTTCTCTTACAGAGTCTCTGTTCTCCAAACACCACATCACGTCCCCGCAGCCGGAGTGGAATACATAGCAGGTGTTCATCTGTTGGCTGTTGAGTGGCCGACTTCAGAAGGGTCACCTCCTATAATTATGGTGGTGAATCCGCAGCCTGCCTGGCCTTAACCTTGGCTCGGCCAGGCCCCGCAGCAAGCATCTGGGCAAGTCCTCTGGCCTGTCAGGGCGGCAATTTCTCCTCTGTAAAGCAGCGAGGATAGCCTACCTGGCAGGGGCCTGGTGAGGAGCAGGTGAGAGAACAGAGGCCCGGCACATGGCAAGCGGCACTGAACCGCACTTCCTCCACGTGCACACCAGCGTGTGCCCACCTGAACCCCCGTGGCCCCCGCTTTGCAACAGGGGACTTGGGGTGATTGTAACAGGCGCGCTGTTCTCGTTGGCTCAGCAGGCACATTTATTGACCGCCTTGTTGAAGGAGCCTTCTCAGCATTCGGTAACCAGAGTTCTCACTGGGGGCGGCCCAGGGCCTATCTTCACGTCGTGAATCACTTTGCTAAAGATGCAACGTGGCTTTGGGGCATTTTTCTTTTGAAAAATCAATAACTCATTAACAAAGAACTAAATAAAGGGGTAAGCAATGGAAGCCACCTGCCATTCCCTTTCCTCAGGTGGGGGCGCAGAAGCCAGACCCACCGAAGTGGAGGAGGGGGTCCACTCGGGGTCCACTCGGGCTGGGGGTGCCATAGGCTGAACCCTCGCCCTGACTCTTCCAACCCCACAAATGTGACTAGGTCCCTCCTCTCTTTCAGTAAACACTTCAGGAGGGCCCCACTGCTCTCAGGAGAGATTGGAGTTTTCTCAGGAGACCCCGGAAGGCCTCCCAGTCTACTCACCCCAGTCTCTCCAGCCTCGTGGAAACCGATCCCTGCCTCACACCCACGCTCCAGCCACACTACACGCCTGTGGCCCCCTGAAATGGGCTCTGATCTCTCCAGCTTCCCGACCTTCACATTCACTGCTCCATCTGCCTGGACTGTTGTCGTCCCTCTGCCAGCCTGAATCATTCATGATGCGTCCTCAAGACACAAATGGAACAACCTCTAGCAAATCTGCCCTGAAACCTTCTCCCACTGCCCCCATCCCCACCCAGGGGTATCAGATCCACAGCCCCCAGGCCTCTCTGCGCCCAGGTACATGACCCACTATTACTTTCTGGGAGAGGGACTGTCTCCTCTGAGGACAGGGACTGTGCCTGGCGGTCCCATCCTCAGGGGCCAGACTATTGCCTGGCACAAAGTTGGTGCCAGGTGGGTGTTCACTGAATGAGTGAGGGATGACATTAACATCAGATGTCTTCCTCCTCCCTGTAGTTCCCCAGAAGCCCCCACTTCAGCCTAGGATAATGGTGACTGCCCCCCAGATAAGCCTCCTTCCTCCAGGGTCCAAGCCCTCAGTGGCCTTCTCTCCCCTTCTAGGGCACAAATAGCTGGTGGGTGAACCTCATAGTAAAATCAAACACTCAACAAGCACTTGCTATGTGGCAGGCCTTTCTATACGTTTTACAGACACGAACTCAGTTGTCACAAATAGGCGTGAGATAGGTACTATTCTAGTCCCCATTTCACAGATGGGAAAACAGAGGCAGAGCCTGGAGCAGAAGGGCCAAGCTTCAGACCCAGGCCACATGGCTGCAGAGACTGTACTTGGAATCACAGCCCTTGCCTTTACTGAGGGGCTTGTGGGGAGTCTGGGGTGGGGGAGACAGCCCAGAGTACCCCAGCCGTCACCCACCACCCGCCACGCCACCACCCGCCACGCCACCAGACAGGGCCTCAGGGCTTGCTCTGCAGCTGGGATGAGCCAGCAGGTCGGGGGAGCTCCAGTTACAGGAAACTGCTTATTCAGGGCCAGCGGGCTTGGGATCCCTGATTCCCTCCCTCTCAGATTCCCTACTCAGCTCGGGTCCCTCGCCCACACCGCCCACCATCTCCACCAGAGAGCACAGCCTCTGGCCCTAATCTCATTTGAGGCCATGAAATCGCATTTGCGGAGTATTAATGCAGCACGGAGCTGGCCCAGCCCTGCCTGGCT